CACAGTAAGACATGTTTTCCTTCTCATTAGAAGGTCTATCATATAGTCACCACAGTAAGACATGTTTTCCTTCTCATTAGAAGGTCTATCATATAGTCACCACAGTAAGACATGTTTTCCTTCTCATTAGAAGGTCTATCATATAGTTACCACAGTAAGACGTTTCCCTTCTCATTAGAAGGTCTATCATATAGTCACCACAGTAAGACATGTTTTCTTTCTCATTACAAGGTCTATCATATAGTCACCACAGTAAGACATGTTTTCCTTCTCATTAGAAGGTCTATCATATAGTTATCACAGTAAGACATGTGTCCCTCCTCATTAGAAGGTATATCATATAGTTACCACAGTAAGACATGTTTTCCTTCTCATTACAAGGTCTATCATATAGTCACCACAGTAAGAAATGAGAAGGAAAACATGAGAAGGTATATCATATAGTCACCACAGTAAGACATGTGTCCCTTCTCATTAGAAGGTCTATCATATAGTTACAACAGCAAAAGCCTTTTTATCCGGCATTTTCTTCTAACCGAACATTTCATTATTTCTAAATACAATTGCTCAATGTAGCTCAGTGGCGCTGTTGTAGCTTTATTCTTTCCCGCCGGCAAACTTCAGTTGTTAACTGCCTGTACTGTGTGTGTGTGATTCACATTTAAAACTATTTTTATACAGTTTTTACATCATTTGTTAGTGTGAAAACTGTTTAGAACATTAATAAGGTATCAAAATCGTTCTTGTAAAATATAATAAGAAAAACGCTTTTGCAGCCGGAATTTTCGCCTATCCGGTATTCCCCAGATCTGGTTGGTGCCGGATAATAAAGTTTCTGATGTAGTTAGTACAAGAATGGTTTCGAAGTTGTTTTTTTAAACTAATATTCAAGTACACGCAGTTCTTAATTAAAAACGGTTTTAAGCCATTAATTATCTTTATATCCACGAATCAATAACTTCCACAGACAAATTACAAAAAACAAAAGTTGTGAATATACTATTCGCTGTTGACAAACTCTACCGAAGTACTTAGTGCCTCGGGAAAAGGGAAGTTTATTTAGAAGTATACTTACAGTTAGTTGTGATCTTATTTCATGCGTAAAAATAATTAATTGTCAATTTGTTTCTGAAATATTTCTAGAGAAAGCCATAGAAGAACAAACGCTTTAAGTATAAATTAAAAGCTTCATCTATCAATATAAATTCTAAGAATGTAAGCAAGGAGGAATATGTTATGTCAACCACACTGCCGACGAAGCCTTTTGTGTAATACCAGAGCTCATCAGACCGGTCGTGATGCGTCAGAGTCTCTCTAAATATAAATATCGTCGATTTTTACTGAACCAGATTAAACAAATCATTTTTAAGGTATTATCACTGTTATCTAGGTAAGCTACAAAAGAGATGTTTAGGATAAGAATGAATGACACAACATTACATATTTTAGCTTATACACGTTAGTCACAAATTGTTCTTTGGTAGATATAGAGATTGATCAGATATAGAACTTTTCTTTTAACTGTTATTTTTGTCTCCAACAACTTCGTTTTTTGTTGTTTTTTTTCCAACACAGTCCCTCCGAATCTCCTTACAATTAATGGAAGTCCAAGACACGTGGTTCTTCAGATAAAGGAAGGAGAACGTGCTAATTTAACGTGCAGTGTTGAGAACAGCAAACCTCCGTCACGTTTAAAGTGGTATCGAAACAGAGTGGAACTGATACCTGGTGAGGGCCTTATGGTGTATTGTATATAGGTTTCCTTTCATACTTTTCTGTATATGATGGGTTGTACAAGTTCATATATCACAACTAGGTTCAAATATGCACTTAAAATAGTGAGTTAAGCTTAATTCTGACGTTCCTCCCGAGAATTTCTCACTGATAAAATTAAGTAAAGCTATTTCCACCCTGTCGTTTATTTATTATCACTCTACGATTAAAGATAAAACAACATCGTTCAAGTATCTTTACAAACTCGTCTCTCCTCTTGATTACGTTTAGACATGATGCACTTATATAAATCTTCAAAATATGAGGATAGTTATCTTCACTGTAAACGTATCTGCTTGTTTTATTATTTCAATTCTGGCTTGGTGCTAAGCTTTAAAGGCTTATAACGCTAAAAATAGGGGTTCGATCCATGTGTTGAGTACAACGCAGAAAGTTTATTCATTTAGTACATTATTTATGAATGATTTATCTAATTCTATTTTTTTTAAATTTTATTCTATAAGTAATTTTCATAAAGGTTGTAGGTAAATCAATATTATATTTCAAACAAAAGACCATGATAAACTTTTTTTCTCCTGGTTATTTATAATATAACCGAAGCTCTGTTTCACCTCTAGAACATTCGGGCAACATGATTGAATGCACCTTCTTATGTTGAAGTAAAATATCTCCAAAAATAGGACTGTAAATCAACATGTGAATGAATAAACCTTCTTATAGTGAAGTAAAATATCTCCAAAAATAGGACAGTAAGTCAACATGTGAATGAATACACCTTTCATAGTGAAGTAAAATATCTCCAAAAATAGGACACTAAATCAACATGTGAGTGAATACACCTTCTTATGTTGAAGTAAAATATCTCCAAAAATAGGACAGTAAATCAACATGTGAGTGAATACACCTTCTTGTGTTGAAGTAAAATATCTCCAAAAATAGGACAGTAAATCAACATGTGAGTGAATACAAATTCACTCACATGTTGATTTACTGTCCTATTTTTGGAGATATTTTACTTCAACATAAGAAGGGCACCTTTTCATAGTGAAGTAAAACATCTCCAAAAATAGGACTGTGAACAATTGCAAGATAGTAATATGTTTATAGGCTTAAAATTTAATACTCATCACTTGAAACTAAACTTTAATCATATTGACTAGTCCAGAAGAATCGTATTGGCCTTGTAGCAAACAGTGCTTCGAATAGAACATCAAAAATTCGAGCCACGATAAACTGCTGAATGCATTCCTTACAGTTATGGGGTATTATAAGTGTGACGGACAATCTCGCTTTTTGATTAAGAGTAGCCGTATGGGCGGGGAGTGCTGCTGACTGCCTGCCCTCTTCTGTTCTCTGATTTGGCTCGTTAGCCTTTGTGTCGCAAAAGATTGCAGTCTGATGTTTATTAGACACATTGTCATACTCTGAAAGAAGGGAACAAAAGGCAACAGTACAAGGCAACAGTAATTAATTATATCAGTAGGCATTACCACTCAAAGAAGGCCGTCTTACCAAAACGTTTCAAAAGAAAAATAACTTTGATGACTTACTAGTGCCGTATTTCAGGCCTACCTATACAGGTTTAATGTGGACTTTAACATTGTACAATATTACAATTGTTAGACTCCATTTTTATGTTTTATTGTAATAATAAAGTGACAGTTTTTTTTAAATAGTATAGTAGGGTTAACGTATGTGTGTGTGTGTTATTTGGTTTTGTTGTTTCTATTGCACAGACGCTGCTGAAACGTCCATTCGTGAGGAAAAAGGAAAACTCGTGACCGTTTTGAGTACCCTGACACTTTATCCCAAAATAGATGATGACCAGGCGACCTACATCTGTGAAGCTGACCATTCAGCACTGTCTAATCCTTTGACATCTTCTGTTACCATAAGTGTCCTTTGTAAGTGTCCACAAACTATAGATTTAGAAACATCTTGTACAAATCTACAACGCAAGAAAAGGGGGCAGTTTGGAGGATTGATTTCGAAATATTAGAACTTTAAAATAACTGAACTTATCTTATTTTACGGCCGCGCATAAAAGTGATGGAACCGTTCATGTAGATGTGTACATGAACCTTCAACATTTAACGAAATTAAACACCGAGGACTCAAATGTGATGTATTTTTATCTAAGCCTAATTATTACACGAACCTCAAGTTTCAGCGACAGATCATACATACCCAGTTCTAACCTCACGAGTCTTTCAAATACCGCAGTATCAGAAATACGATAATTAAAATGACCTAACCATTTTAAAAGATTATGACTTTTCCTTACGTCATCGGCTGGTTAATTAGTCCAGCAGAGTTTCCTCAGCAACGTATAGGAGAATACGTTTTGGATTGTCATAGTTTTAATTAAAATGCCATCTACCGAAGCTAACGAGTTTATCGTCGTTAGAAGTCTCTGTAAAAGAGTAGTAAAAGAACATCGAAATTTCAAGAGATTTTCTCTCGAGTTACTAATGCACATGAGTATTTATAAAAGCCATTTGCCAACAGAGCGAAAGGTATAACTTGTATTTAATTACACGACTCAAAAATACGTAATAAAGAACAATCTTTCTTTGAAGTCTTACCACTGTTGCAAATTTATTTATGAACATTACTGAAGGAACATAAAGATTTACTAAGAATTCGACATATCTAAATAAAGCAAGGGAGTGTAACTTAACAGAAATTATCCCTCATTTTATAGCTTATCGTTTTTACATGTCCAACTTTTCAGTGCCAGTTATAGAGTTAATGTAACATTAATGAGTTAATTCGCTTGGTTTCTAAGACTTTGATTACCAAGTGTTATTATTTAATTCCAATGAAATTAAATTTATTATGATTAACAGAGGGCCTCATCATCTCCATTTTGTACAATTTGGGAATGAGTGAAGGCTGCTATTAGAACTTACGTCATGATGAACTGCATCGCTAACCATTTGAATCTTTTATTAAAGTAATTCATGATTTAAAGAAATGTGGGGAGCATTAAAGGACCATTCTCTTATTCATAAGTATAAACTTTATCTATTTTTTTTCCGCATGTAATAAAGTTAAATGAAGCTAATTCAAAACAACAAAGATGCAGAACTGTCACTCGCACTAATAATCATCTTTTGTTTTGTATGTTTTCATTCTACGACATGTGATCGGAGATAAATGATCTTAGTAGAAGTTGAATTAATGTAATAAACTGTAAGTTTTTAATGGTTTCCTTTAAAGATTTCCCACAAAATAACTATTTTAACATAATACAATTAACGACAGGGGGAGTATTGTATTAAAGTGGTATCAGTTAAAGTTTTTTTACTACTTATATACATATACATCGTTGTATTTAAAACGGAAATGTTAAGCGTTATTTATGGATATTTATATCGGAAGCTAACCTTGTCTTTCTGTAGCTTTGATGGTATTGTAGTTAATCAAAATGTCTTTGTTCTACGGATACGTTTTCGCTATCTGGTTTTGCAGCAGGTTTTTTTTTGTTTATGGTTAATTTGATGACAAAGATTAATCCTAGTATTACGATGCTTATCCGCAGATCCTCCAGGAAAACCAGTTATAACCGGATACAGAGAAGGACATGTCTTGGTGAAAGGAGAACGCTTGTCTCTGCTGTGCACATCTAAAGGTGGAAATCCGCCAGCTATTCTGATGTGGTTTAGATCAGGTGAACGGTTGGATACCAGCTACGTCACCCGTTCAAGAAAGACCGTCAGTATTTTAAGGTTTAGAGTCACTGCCGCTGACAACAAAGCAGAATATCGCTGCGAAGCGAAGAGTCCTCTTGTGAACCGGTCCTCCTCCGAGTTCGTAACTCTCTCCGTCCACTGTAAGTTCGGGGTCATTCACTTTGTTGGTGGGAACCTGTTGTTTGTGGAGAGTGAAGGGAGTTGTTTTGTTGTGCCCACCACGAGTATCAAAACCCGGTCTTTAGCATTATTGCCTTCAGACTTATCGCCGAACCGTTGAAAGGGGGGGGGGGGTCCAACAGTAAGGAAGATGTGTAATTTTCAAATAAATATAATTAAACTATAACTGGGGTTTTAAATATAAATACAGTTTTTGTTTTGTTGAATTTCTCGTAAAATTACTTGAAGGTTATCTGTGCTGTTCTTCAGTGATTTTGAAGTGACAAACTGCAGGGTGCGAATAGTGTATTGACCGTAACATTATAACGCTCTCACGGATGAAAGGGCAAGTATATTTGGCGACGGATTTCAATCCCACATCTGGTAGATCGATCCCACATCGAGCGCCCTAACCACCTGTATGATTAACATAAAGTTCGTTATTGTATAAAGCTACGTTGATTTATACGTTAAAAAAAGTATTTGTTGCCATTAGCTCATGTTTAATATTAATTACACTAGGGGCAATGTTATGACACGCTCCACACGTGCCGAGAAGAGGCACGTATAACTAGTTGACGCTAATAGATTAGAAAGAGAGCAGCTAGTCAACGGTACCCACCGCCAACTCTTGGGCTACTCTTTTACCAAAGAATAGTGGGATTGACCGTACCATTATAACGCCCCCACGGCTGAAAGGGCGAGCATGTTTGGTGGGACGGGAATTCGAACTCGCGACCCTCGGATTGCGAGTCGAGCGCCCTAACCACCTGGCCATGCCAGGCCTAACAATGCTTTGACAGAACACAACCTGACCAAGTACGGACTGACCATTAAATAAGATATTATTAACAAGGGAACATTTAAAACACGACCTTTGTGATGGGTGGATTACAAAAACTGTACTTTTAGAAAAACACAAGCCGCCAATTAATCGAGATCCAATTGCATTATTTCTTGTGTGTACAACTTTGTAACTTTGATTTGATATTTATTGTTGTCTAATCAGTTTTTCTTTTTGCTATAAGTTTACTCTTATTTACATAATAATTGTGTTTTCTATTTTTTTTTCTATTGTAACGTTAGGGGCATTTATCCTTATCCGCGTCCCATTGCCGCGAAGAATGCGCACCGTACTTTGTGATCGCGAATGTATTGTACGAGTGACGGTCAAATCGCACAATTCAGTCAAGCAAGAGTAGCCGAAGCGTTGGCGGTGGGTGCCGTTGACTAGCTGCTCTCTTTCTAATCTATTAGCGTCAACTATGTGAAGGTAGCCACAGTTTAGCTTAACGTTAAACTTCTAGAACAATAAAATATACTGTGGAAAAATCATACTTCACAAACTTATGTATAGCACGTGTCAGAAATAAACTTTCCGTCAAATCTGTTCCCTCTGTCATCATTTTCTTCTAGTGTGTGCTAAAAAAAATCATCCTGAGAAAAGCGAAAGCTGGAATGTCCAGACAATAAATCTGAATACTCCTAAAAACGATCGTTTGTTTTTTCAGAAAGATGAATGTTTGAACGAAAGGTTGTGTTAATGGCTGAAAGTACAAGAAACTTGGCACATATTTAAATGAATAATCAATTGATAGACCCCTTAAGCCCTTATAATTTAAAAACAAAAACTATTTTCTTGTTTGTTTTCAAAGAGGCGTTTAAATCTTCATCTAATACTGAGCAATATTAAGGTTTACTGATTATTCATCCGTACGGAGTATCGTAAGCCTGTGAATAAAAACATACCCATGGTAATAAAAATCGCCAGCTTGTTGAACTGATATATCGTAAGATTACGCCTGGAGTAAAATGTAAGTGAATGGTAATATTACATAAACATTTTCAACTGTGTTTACAAAATATTGATTTCAAATAGAACAAGGGTTTACTAGGACCGACGAGATATTTCATGTTCTTATTAAACTGATTTCTTTACGGTACAAAACGATTTCAAGTCTTAATTCTATAATTATGCATTACGAGACAAAATATCGTAAATTGAATAAAAATTTCCATCTCACCCCCTGGTGGCTCAGCGATAAGTCAGTGGGCTTATAACGCCAAAAATCCGGTTTGGATACCCTCGGCGGGCAGAGAACTCTTTATGTAGTTTTGTGCTTTATAACAAACAGTTTGTTTGTTTGTTTTGAATTTCGCGCAAAGCTACACGAGGGCTATCTGCGCTAGCCGTCCCTAATTTAGCAGTGTAAGACTAGAGGGAAGTCAGCTAGTCATCACCACCCACCGCCAATTCTTGGGCTACTCTTTTACCAACGAATAGTGGGATTGACATTATAACGCCCCCACGGATGAAAGGGCGAGCATGTTTGGTGTGACGGGGATTCGAACCCGCGGCCCTCATATTGCGAGTCGAGTGTCTTAACCACCTGGCCATGCCAGGCCCATATATAACAAACAGATAATAAAAGGTTTCACAACAAGACGAGCCCTCTAGTGGGAACTAACGGCTCTTGTTAACTCAGCTAAGTCGATAACAAAGGAAGTCAACCTGGTTCAATTTATGACATTACGAATACCTGTAGTCAGTTTATATTAATTTATGACATTATGAATACCACTAGTCAGTTTATATTAATTTATGAATACATCTAGTCACTTTATATTAATTTATGACATTATGAAGTGTTTTTATACATAATATGCGTCATTAATTCATAAATTAATTATCAGAAGCTATTAAGAACTGAACTATGTAGATATTCCTGCTCCGTAAACAATATACTTTTATGTTCTTCCCTTGTGTGAGTTCTCGAGTCTTCTTAGCCTGTTGTAAAACAACGTTTTACATGTTGTGCACGAAGAAACTCCGAGTGCCATACGTACATTGAAAACTGGTGGTCTAAATCGTTTTCCTGCACCGAGAAAACATGAAATTGGACGTACAAACAAAATAATGACTTCACCATGTAAAATATATACACGAAGTTTCTTGTCAGTTTATATTAATTTATGACATTATGAATACCACTAGTCAGTTTATATCAATTTATGACATTATGAATACCTGTAGTCAGTTTATATTAATTTACGACATTATGAATACCTCTAATCAGTTTATATGGTATTCATAATGTCATAAATTAATATAAACTGACAAAACACTTGTTTTAACTGCTTGTTAAAAATAATTCTGTGGCTTACTAACAAAAATTAATACTTTAATGATATACCATTCATAAGCTTGAAGAATTTACCTGCCTGGTGATAGTGAGGGTTAGGTTAGAAGACGTTATCCATCCACTGCTAACATTTCTAGTAGAGTCCTCCCCGCCAGTGACGGGCTCCCCATCCACTAGCCAGCTCAGTTGAGTTGCCGGGTTACTAGGAGTGGTTATACATACAACTGTAATAACCTCCCCTCTTCTTGCATTGGAAGGCCCATTTAGGTGCACCTTTTCGGGGGGATCTAAATCGGAGAACAAGGAAAAAAATTCTCGTAAAGTATTTCAAAGAAGATGAAACAAAGTTTCTCACTTTATAGGATTAATATATAAACTTATGACATTATGAATACCACTAGTCAGTTTATATTAATTTATGACATTATGAATACCACTTGTCAGTTTATATCAATTTATGACATTACGAATACCACTTGTCAGTTTATATTAATTTATGACATTATGAATACCACTTGTCAGTTTATATTAATTTATGACATTATGAATACCACTAGTCAGTTATATTCAATTTATGACATTATGAATACCACATAGTAGATATTACACGAGGACGTGAAAGGCAGTGCTTAACATGCAACGTGTCATCTCTTTGCTTAGATAACGACTCAAGGAAACGAAAGCTACTTTTTTATTTTTAAAATGACCGTTAAACGCGTACTGCTGACTAGACATTAATCTCTTTTTTTTTGTCCCATAATGAAACTTCCAAGTCATTCATGGACAAAAAAAGTCCTCTGTGTTCTTTCCTTGGTTTAATGTGTTGTAGTATGCTAAGAAATAAGTACCACAAAAAAGTACTGTTTTGTAAATCACACTTCTTTCCCAAAATCGTTAAGTGGTTAGTCTTTGTTGCCTTAGTATCTTGTTTCATTGAATTACCGGCCGTTTATTTATTGTTGCCTTAGTATCTTGTTTCATTGAATTACCGGCTGTTTATTTATTGTTGTTATAGTATCTTGTTTCATTGAATTACCGGCTGTTTATGTATTGTTGTTTTAGTATATTGTTTCATTGAATTACCGGCTGTTTATGTATTGTTGTTTTAGTATCTTGTTTCAGTGAATTACCGGCTGTTTATGTATTGTTGTTTTAGTATATTGTTTCAGTGAATTACCGGCTGTTTATGTATTGTTGTTTTAGTATATTGTTTCATTGAATTACCGGCTGTTTATGTATTGTTGCCTTAGTATCTTGTTTCATTGAATTACCGGTTGTTTATGTATTGTTGTTTTAGTATATTGTTTCAGTGAATTACCGGTTGTTTATGTATTGTTGTTTTAGTATATTGTTTAGTTGAATTACCGGCTGTTTATGTATTGTTGTTTTAGTATCTTGTTTCATTGAATTACCGGCTGTTTATGTATTGTTGTTATAGTATATTGTTTCATTGAATTATCGGCTGTTTATGTATTGTTGTTTTAGTATCTTGTTTCGTTGAATTACTGGCTGTTTATGTATTGTTGTTTTA